AGTGATGCCACCATGGGAGAGCAAATTCTGGATAGGACTGCATCGCAAGCATGGGCCAACATTTGTATGGACTGACGGTAATGAGGTGAGACATTTCGCCATAGATCTAGCGAGGGGATACTTGGTCGAAGTGATGGTTTAAAAAGCGATGCGTAGTTGATGCGGATTTGATCGCTGATTTCAAATCCGCTTTTTAAATCTCCAAAGTGTTCTTGCGGAAGAAAGTATGGAGTTTCTGCCAAAATCAATCTCGTATTGCTCGTCAATAACTACTCTATAACAAAAATCAACCCAAAACAAGAAACAAAAGGATAACGACATTCAATATTAAACCCTTCTGTTGCTATTTGGGTAGAAACTGAACTTCCAGCACCTTGATTCGGCTCCTGTAAGCCTTTTTTGACAGAAAAGAAACGTCCACAGCTCTTTCAGAGAATCGTATCTCAAACAAGCTAAGCAGATGAAATCAGCACTACAAGTTACATTTGAAAGTCGTCCCCTTACTATTTATCATCACTTTGATCAGGTATCCTTTTCTTGTAAGATACATTGTGTTTTGGTAAGGTGTATGCATACGTAGTCGATTCAGTTTTTCGATAATCCGGGACATTTTGCAAAACCGTCAAATTTCACTATGTGGTGCTCCGGATATCCGATCGCACGAGGAGATTGTGTATATATGCAGCAGCATAATGGAACAGAGTAGGGTTTGAAGATTGTACCTCAATAAGCAATTGCTTATGACTTCACTTTGCAGACTGTGTTGGTTTAACGCTGACTGCGATAACGATGAGAATTATATCTGTGAACGAAAGCCGTGTGATACGGATAATTATTGTTCATTCGACGATAAGTAAGAATGTTGAGTGTTGTTGCAAAACCTTCTAAATTAATGAAAACTTTGGCATTTTTATTGCGAACATAGTAAAATTTTTTTATAAATAAAGCAAATCTGCAGAAATTAGAGTGAGCATGTTATATTTAAATTATTTGTTTTAAAATCGATCT